TTATTTTACCTTTCTCTTGTTGGCAATCCAAGGACAGTGGGTATAGCAGCTTCATGGCATCAGTGATCCAAGATTCTCTCTCCTTTTGTTGCCATCCTCAACAAGTGGCTTCCACCCCATGATGTGAAATCAAGCTTCAGGTCGGTCTTTCATGGAACAGGAAGAAGCAAGGATGAGGGTGCCTGTCCCCTTCCCATAAGGAGGCATTCCAGAAGTTTCACAGGATACTTCTGCTTACAGCCTGTTATCCAAAATTTAGTCATATTACCACACCTAACTGCAAAATAGGCTGGGAATATAGTCTTTATTTCAGGATTTATGGGGCCACCTATTCATTACTAAACAGGATGGGGAGATTTGATATTAGGAAACATCTAGAAGTTTCTTCCACAGGGTGTCTGTGATTGGGTATAAGAGACTTGAGAGTTAAAAAAAGTCAGTTCTGGAAATAAAGATTTGAAAGCTCTTGCATGTTAGGTAAGATTCTGAGAGAGGAAGAGATGGCATGAAGAGAGTGTACAGTGGGAAGAAAAGGTCAAGAAGGGACCTGTAGGGAACCACTGACATTAATGATCACACAAAGAAGGAGGACTCAGCAGGGCCCTAAGAAGAATGATGAGGCCAGGAGCTGGATACTCAGGACAGGTTTCAAGGAGAGAGTGGTCAGGAGTGTGCGGGGAAAGAGATGCTGCTATTGTCTCCACTGTCCTCCAAAATTCTTATGTTGAAACTTAATTGCCAGTGTAATAGCATTAGGAGGTGAGGCCTTAGGGGGTGGGTTCATTCCCTTCTGTCCCTTCTACCATGTGAGAACAAAGCAAGAAGGCCCTCACCAGACACTGGATGCTGGTGCCTTGCTCTTGGATTTCCCAGCCACCAGAACCGTGAGAAATACATTTCTTTTTTAAAATTTATTTTCTTAAAAAGTATTTTTGGTAGAGATGGCATCTTACTCTGTTGCTCGGGCTAATCTCGAACTCCTGACCTCAAATGATCCTCCTGCCTCGGCCTCTCAAAGTGTTGGGATTACAGGCGTCAGCCACCACACCCAGGGACATTTGTATTCATTATAAATTACCCAGTTTGCAGTATTTTGTTATAGCAGCACGAGTGGACTAAGACAGATGCCAATTAAGAAAAAGAACTGGTCTTTAAAAACCACAAGAAGTTGTCGTTGTCCTGTTTCCAATCAAAGACTAACTCGTCTTTTTCTGGAAGGAGATCTGTATGACCGAATGACCTTCTGGAATTTGGAATGTGTGTAAATCCCACTGTAAGGATGTGATGGTTAATTTGGGCCTAGGGCCAGACACAGAAAGACAAACACCACATGATCTCACTCATATGTGGATCTAAAAAAGTTGATTTCATAGAAGTAGAGAATGGAATAGTGGTTACCAGAGGCTGGGAGGGTAGGGAGGAGGGGAGAACAAGGAGAGGTTGGTCAATGGTTACAAAATTACAGTTAGACAGAAAGAATACGTTCTGGTGTTTTATCACACAGCTGGGTGACTATAGTAAATAACAATGCAGTATATATATCAAGAACCTAGAAGAGAAGGTTTTGAATGTCACAACAGAGAAATGATAAATGTTTAAAGTGATGGCTATGATAACTACCCTGATTTGATCATTATACAACGTAAACGTGTATTGAAACATCACACTGTAACCCATACATATATACAATTATTATGTGTCAATTATAAATAAAAATAAAAGATTTAGGCTCAGGGCTGATGAAAGACACAGCTCCCTGTCCCTTCTCAGTGAGGGACAAGATGGTCACTGATCATCTCTGTCACTATGGTCAGGTGGCTGAGGACCAGAGGAGGCCCTGGGACAGAAAAGGGGCTGAGTTTAACCTTTGCCTTTTATCTGCTTCTAGGGAAGGAATCAAGATGCATACAAAAGTGGACTCACATGCATGCACTAGGAGATATGTACAAGGATGGTAGCTGTAGCATTATCTGTGAGAGGGAAACACTGGAAATAACCCAAGTGCCTATCAACTGGAGAGTAGATGAATAAATCATGCTGTAGGCATTCAATGGACTTCTATTTGGCAGATAATGAATAAACTAGATCAGTGTGTATCTCAATATGTGCAAAAGCAATATTGAATGAAAACAAAGCATGTTGCAGCATGAAAGCAGTTATGTAAACTAGAAAAACCACAGAAAGAAATTCTGTAGCTTTTTTACAGAAACGTAAATATAGTTTAGGTATAAAAATATGGATAGTAGAGTATTTACCAAATTCCCGGTAGTGGCTGTCTTTCGGGCGGAAGGTGACTTGGACTGGGAAGGGTGATCAAGGGGGTTTCAACTTTATCTGTACTGCTCTTTTCTCTTATTCAAAAATATCTGAAGCATGTGAAACGGTGGCTAATTTATTACTTATTAGGGAAATGTAAATTAAAGCCACAGTAAGGAGGAGGGGAAGGAGGAGAAGAAGGAGGAGGAGAAGAAAAATCCTAGTAAGATACCAGTACACACTCACCAGAATGGCTAATGAGTCTAACACATCATATGTTGGCACAAATATGGAGCAGCTGGAACTCTTAGACATTGGCGGGAGTGTATATTCATTCACGCACTTTGGAAAACGGTTTGGCAGTATCTATGAAAGTGAAACATATGCCTATCCCGTGATTCTGAAATTCTGCCCCTAGATAGAAACCCAAGAGAAGTGAGTATACATGTGCACCAAAATAAATGTACAAGGATGTTCATAGCAGCTTTATTTATATTAGCCAATGACTAATCAAACCAATTTGGTTATTCTACTTCTAGATATAGATGTTAGAGAGTCTTAATCATGTACCCAAGAAGACAGGTGCAAGAATATTCATTGCAACACTATTTACAACAGCAACAACAACAACAACAACAAAATAATAACTCAAATGTCCACCCTCAGGAGGATGCATTAATACTGCAATAACGTAGATGAATCTCATAGACATTATGTTAAGCAGAAGAAGCCAGGCGTAAATGAATACATGCAATGTAGTTTTGTTTTAAGGAGTTCTACAATAGGCAAAACTAATTCCTACTGACAGGATTCGGAATAAGGGTTCCTTATGGGGTGCTACGGATTAGAAAATAGCATAGGGACCCTTCTGAGGTGATGATATATTACATCTTCATCTGAATGGTAATTACACAGGTGTTGACACAAGTAAACATTATTAAACTGTACACTCAAGATTTGTGTACTTTGTTGTATGTTTAAGTTATGTCTCAAAAATATCGGAAGCAAGCATGACTAAATGTTAACATATGTTAATTCTTGGTGGTGGGTACACACAGTATTACTCAATCTCTACGTTTTCCTATATATTAAAATATATTTATAATTCGGAAAAAGAGAGGGCACTAGTCTTTTGGAGTCCAGTGACACTCATCCCAGAGGTGGTGACACTCCATTTGAGTCCGGGCCCCTTGCCCAGCCATGTCCCCAGTGTATGGGCAGGTTCCCTTACAGTGGGGTGCAGCTGATAGCAGCCAACCAATCTTTCCTGGGTAGAGAGCTTCTTCATTTGTTTGGTAAATCATAGCGGCTGTTAAAGATGGGACTGTTGTGTAGGCTCCTCTGAAGATCAGCTCGACTGATTCTTTACCTGACAGGGGCCCTGAGCCATCATGCAAGAGCTGGGTTGGATATCTACTTCCCTGCATCCCAGCTCTGGCCAGAGGGAGAGCTGCATTTGAAAGTAGCCCCATGGCCTCAGCTCCCAGATTGGCTGCTGGTCTGTTAGCTCAGGGCATCACCAGTGGGTACCAGGGGCAGGTCGAAGAGAATGAGCGATGGAGAGAGAGAAAAAAAGAATGTAAAAGGGGATAAAGAAAAAGGGAAGGAAAAGACAAAATGAAAGCTGCAGACGCCTTGCCGTGTTGCTTCCAGGACCTGGGTTCTCTGCTTTATTTCTTTCTCCTCTTGGCTGCCCAGCTGTCCACCTTGCAGGAACTCAGAGCTTCCCCCTGTGGAAGGAGGAGGGGGTAGTGAGGCCGAAAGTGTCTCTCAAACAACACAGACCTGCCTTTCTACCACTAAGTGACTGACCAGCTACTTACCCTCTCTGGGTCTCAGTTTTCCCGCTGGCAAAACAGGGGCAATAATTTCACCGCTCAGGGCTGCTGCCAGGAGCTGGAAACTGCGCACACCAAGTCCTGACGCCTCGCAGGCCCTCGACCAGCGTCGTAAGATGCCTCCTTCCCTCTGAGTCTGTGGGTCAGAACCCTCGCAGCGCTGCCCGACAGAACTTCCTGCCGTGAAGGCTGCTGAGCGCTCAAAACGTCTCTAGTGCTAAGGAGAGGTTGAGTGTTTCATTCCGTTGCAAGTTAATTGCTCTACATTTAATTAGCCGTCTGCGGCGAGAGACTAGCGCTTAGCTCAGCGCAGAGTCCAGGGCAGGGACTGCCCCAGCAGGCCGCGGGGCAGGGTGGCTCGTTACTCCGTGGACACTGCAAGGCGCCCGGTTCGCGCTGCGTGGACGCAGTAGTTTCTTCCCATAATAACCCCCTTCTGGATAAAGTCAGGCTGGCGGGAGCGTCCTGGACCGTAGTTCAAGCCCCCGCGCTCCGCGGTGGGAACAGTTCAGGACTCCCCCGACTTCTGCTCCTTTCGCCCCCGACCATCTCCACTCCGCCCGCCCACCATCTCGGAAGTCCCCTTGGGACAATGCGGAGGGGACCTCCGCGTCCCCGACACCCAGTTGGGCCACGGCCGCGGGCTCCTTCGTCCCTCGCCGCCAGCCAGGGAGGCTCTGCATGCCCACGTCCACTGCACAGCCGAGGAAACTGCGACTCGCGGAGGTGCCCGGCACGCGGCGGGAAGCAGCGGAGCTCGCGCCCAGCAGTCAGCTCTGGTGACGCCGAGGACACCGCGTGGGCCGGGTTGTCAGGGCGCGCGGGCGACAGGCGGGTAAATATTTGGGGCTGTAACCCGGGCTTCGGCGACTCCTCGTCACTGCGGTTCCAGGGAGGGCGCGTGGCGAGGGCGGTGCCTGGGGGCAGGGGCCTCCTCGGAGGGCGGTGGAGACAGACCCATCGCCTCGGCTCCGCAGCCCCGCCCCGGCCCCGCCTCCGCCCCGGCCGCCAGCGGCTATAAGATCTAGGAGCCGGAGCCCGCCGGAGGGCTGGCGCGGATCGTGCTGGGAGCGGCGCGGCTGGAGCGCAGCGCCGAAGGGACTGGCAGGGCGGGAGTGTGCGGGACAGCGAGCCCCGGAGTAGCCCAGGCTGCCACCTCGCAGGACCCAAGGCCACGCACGCCAGGCCACGCACGCCGGGCCCCCCTGAGCCGCCTCATGAAGCCGCCCGCGGCGCAGGGCAGTCCCGCGGCCGCCGCGGCCGCAGGTGAGTGCGGGGTCCGGAGTCCCCTTAAAGTCCCGGCTCTGCAGATGGCGGATGAGAAAGGAGGCGCCCCCTGTCGTCCCTTTACACCCGCCACCCTTCCATCCTCCCCGGCGGGACCCTGTCCCCTGTCGTCCAGCGCGGGCGGCTGCAGCCTCCTTCCCGGCCCGGGCTGGCCCCCATGTCCCACCTTCCCGCCACCACCAGCTCCGCGCGCGCCCGGGGTTGGGGCGAGCGTGGGGAGGAGTCTGGCCGCGCCAAGTCGCTGTGTGACCCTGGGCCTGGCGGAGGCTCCGTTTTCTTGTCTGTAAAACGGACTTGGTAATAGAACGCACTTCGGGGATGGTGGAGAAGATTACCAGGTAACAGCGACTGCGTGGCTGTCACTTGGCAGAGGCGCCAAGTGTCAGTTATCTTCGGGAACCGTGGAGGCCCCTCCTGGCCCTGGGAGGTGGTCTCGCTGCCCCCCTGACTTCCGTGCACTGAGTCCCCGGCCCTGCCCGCAGCCCCGGCCCTGGACTCGGCGGCCGCGGAGGACCTGTCGGACGCGCTGTGTGAGTTTGACGCGGTGCTGGCCGACTTCGCGTCGCCCTTCCACGAGCGCCACTTCCACTACGAGGAGCACCTGGAGCGCATGAAGCGGCGCAGCAGCGCCAGCGTCAGCGACAGCAGCGGCTTCAGTGACTCGGAGAGTAAGTGCGGCCCCCGCTAGGATGGCGCCGGGATCTCCCAGTTCCCAACACCTGGCCCGCGAAGGTTGCGGCCTCAGTTTTCTTATCTGTAAACTGAGGAATGGTGTCCAGGAACCTAGTCCTGAAGCTCAAAGCAGTAGGCCGAGCAGTGGCGGGGCCCCTGACGATAATCACGGGAAGGGTCGCTGGAGGGAAGGTTGGTCCACCTGCCATCCACAGGTGTGTCACCAGGCAGGCGAGTTTAAGCAGCTTGTCCCGACTGAGCCAGACAGGACTCCCTGGACCAGCACCAGGCCTTTCCACAGTTTCCCTCCTCTTCTCCTTTCCCGTGCGTCTCCCCTCTCCCCTGTAACTTTGCAGATGTGGAATAAGTGCCAGTGGAATGAGGGGGCACAGTGGGGACATGGGAGGGCGCTGAACGGAAATATTCATGAAACCAGGAAAGGTTTCATAAGCCCAAACGGCTGTTCCTGGGATTTATGAAGTAACTGTTTGCATTTTCTTCTGGCCCTGAGCGCTCAGACTTGTTGCTCCATTGCATGCAGTTATGAAAATCTTTGGCACTGCTGAGTTCAAGTATTTTTCAGCCAGGTCCTCCACCAGGCTGGAGGGGGAGCCAGAGAGCACATGGGCGTGAAGGTGCTTCCTGGTGACCTTTCTCACAATGGAGACTACCCCAGCGTCTCTTTGTCGTGAACAACTTTATCAACAACAAAACAACAACAACAACAACAGACAGCTTTTCCCAGGAGCTCACATGTCCTGGGAGGATTCAAACAGCAAATTAGGTGCCTTTTTAGTATTATATGATTGTTGGTTTCAAATCCAGAATTACTTATTGTTTTTCAAAGTGCAAAGTCAATTTTAAACTCTTCTGTGTTATTCTTCAACCTTTAATCCCTAGATGGGTTACAGGCATGAATGTCACTCCTTTTGCTGCCCTTGACTCAGGATGTGAAAGTGATGGCCTTTCCTTGTGATTCTCTTATTTTGAAACCTGGAACTCTTCCTTGTTCCTGGGCTAAGATTCGGGGCTAGACTTGAATGTGAGCTGCTCTTCTGCAAAGGGATAAATGCGCTCACCACCCTGGTCAGGGTTTGACTCAGAAAGCTGAGTTCCAGCTTGAGTTTCCTTGGCAGCATTGCCAGAGAGTTAGACCAAGTTGCAGCTTTTGAGGTGAAAGGGGATGGAAGAAAGTACTGTTACTTTTCCACTTAGAATTTTTGGACTTTGTTCCTAATGAACAGGTTCATTTTTAGTTTCAAAGCGAAGTGTTTACATTCTGGAAATTTGTCTCAATTCCTAAGGCCAAACTTAAATATGTCTCCTTTTACTGGGGCATGGAGCAAGTTATTCATCAAATACAGATTCTCCCATGGAAAAGAAAGCTGGGACAGTGTGTCACTGCAGCTCTGTGGCAAAGAACAGCTCCTTTCTAAGCAACAGCTTCACTTGGCTAGAATAGGTCTAAGAGTGCCCATTCATGGCTGATTGCAGCTTCCACTGAGTGGGATTTCAGATCTAGGATCTGTTTTCAGATGCCTTAAAGAGAAGGCATAGAAACACATTCTTAACAGTTGCAGGGGAGATAGTTGGGATAGTTTGTAGTTTTACTTAGGTTATATGTGTCTATTTTGTTTTCTGCTTTTGTTGTTAACTGACTAACCCGTAGTTTGGTGGTTAAAGAAGTGATGAGAAGAATATAAAGAAAGCTCAGATGACATTTGTCTTTGCTTTAAATGTGTAGTTTTTCTCTCACAAGGCTGGTTAGAAATATTGTTGGCAGAAGCTGTGTGTATCTAAATGGTAATTTCTTAAGGAAGCATAATACGTGTATCTTAATTGCTGCCAAGAATTGAGCACAGACATTTGTTACACTCGTTTGTCTGTTTAATGATTTTCTGTGGGAGAGAATGCTTAAGAGAGGTAGATACTACTGAAATTTAACTCATGAAGAGGGAGACAAAGCAGAATAATGATAATAACAGCAGGTCACTTTTAGCAAATCCTTGCTATGAGGATGATGATGATTTATTAGCTAGAATGGGAACCATGTCTTCACGAATAGACTGAAGTCCTTTTGAGCCCAGATCACATGCCTGTTTGTCAATGATGGCTGTTTGTGAAGGTGTCTCTCTGAGGCGGTGGTCATCTGGCAGGGTGAGTGGAGCCCAGTTTGAGCCTTGTCAAAACCCTGGATGATGAGTGGGATTTAGTTTCTCCAGCTGTGAAACTGAAAGGATGCTATTTAATAGTGCTATTAGGTAGAAAATATTTGCTCTGTTGAATGCTTTCAAAATATCATTACAATGTACATGCTGTGCTATACCACATAGATACATTGGAGCCAGTGTCTCGCATGAAAATATTTTGGATGAAGCTGTAAACCAATGTTACCTCTGTTTTTTTGCTCTAGTTTTTACAGCTCTGTCTGAAGGTGCACCAGCCTTACAAGGAAGATCAAACAGTAATCGTGTTCTTTGAAGAATACTTCTTCCTTCTCACTAAAAAAAAAAATTTAGGTTGCTTGCACCCAAAGGCAAAAAATAGCCATTCCCTCTACCGAAAGAAACAAGTTACTCAGATAGGAAAGAAGAACAGATATTTAATAAGGAAATACTCCTTCCCATTCCCACTTTGAGGGAGGCCTCTTAAGACGTGAAGAGGACCAAAATAACAATTACAGTATAACTTCACATGGGTGGGGGGTGTGTGGAATTCAAATGTAGTTGATCAAAATCAAGTTGTTACTTTCCTTTAGAGTTGATTCCAACATGTAAAAAAATCAGGCGCTTTAGTGGGAGTAATTTTAACTTCAGCAGTGAAAGGGTAATGCAATTAAGAGTTAGGGTAGTGTTTCTCAAACCTCATCCTCAGAGGTGCTTTAGAAATTGACTACCTTTGGTTTGAATTTATTTTTAGAAATATGTCTTCTTTTCAATATTTTTAAGACTGTAAAAGGTACACCATGATTTCTCAAATGTGTTAAATGAAATTTTAACTCATTATGTTTCAAGTTTTAACCAGTGTGTTGACTTTATAAGACATTTATGATATTAACTTAAACTTTAAAAGGTGGTATGCACTTATATCTTTAATGTATTGGGGTTTCATGTAATTTTTCCTTTGAAGGGGGAAGTGTTTTGCTGCTCAATAAAAAAGGTTTGAAGTCTACAGTGTATGCTAGGGTTATTATGATATTGTAGGACCATTTAGGGAATGAGGAACTGGCTTTCTTAGCATCAGCAAGACTTAGAACACCTGTATATCTTTGCCTAGACTATTCTGGCCTGGCCCTGGGAGAGGGGACCTTGTGGGCCCTGAAGAACCAGCATGACAGTTGGCTGATGTGGCTTAGAAGTCACTGAGGCTAGAACCTGAACTTGTTCAAGCCATGAGAGAATAAGGCCAGTGAGGAGCTGTCAGGGTTCCCTGGTACTCTGTTAGCAATTCCACATGGGTGACAGGTCTTGTGATGCTTGGCAAGGCATATAGAGGGACAGCGCGGTCCCAGAAAGGGAGCTGGGACAACGGTGGAGTAGCTGAGGAAAGAGGCTCTTCCTTATTTTGCCCCACTTTGGCGAGGCTACCAGAACTTCGATTTTAGGGAGGAGAATTCAACCCACACCCCCAGCCATTCCCTGTGGCAAAAGGGAGGCAGGTCCAAAGCTTGTTTTTTCTCAGTTAATTACTATAGTTTGCTTGCTTTAAACGTGTGGGAGTGTGGGATCGTTCTATATTTACAGGAGCCTTGGGCAAGGTTTACTGTCGGTGGTGTTACTTCCCTCTGGAGCAGCACGTTGACATTCGCTAACCCTAAATTACCTTTCTCCCAACCCCCCAAGCTAAAAACACACACCTACCTTTTAAACAAGCCTCTATTTTGCAGCAGCGTTTCTCCAACTCTGTTAGTTGTATATTTCATATGCTTTTCTTTCTTTTGATGGTGCCTTAGAAAACGTGGTCCCAGAATTTCAGGTTCCTGGCTTCAGTACACTGACTGGATCTGCCAGGGATGTTTCTAATGGGAATTTGAGATACACGTGAGATGGTGCTTCAGAGCTGATTGAAACCAATGTTGTAAGGCCCTCAAATATCCAGCCTTACCACCTGCCAGGGTTCCCCAAATCATCACTGTTCTAGGTCTCTCGAGCCTCTGTTAATAGCAGCACCTGATACCCACGCGGGGCAATGATACATGAATATGTGATCAGCCAGCAACACATTGCTGTCATTTAATCAGACTAACTGGATATTATTTTTGCAAGGAATAGAGTTCCAGGGGAGGGAAAAGAACGGGATGTCAGGCCTTGCTTACCTTGAAATCTGTCTAGGCGCCTTGCGTGAGATTTTGCCCATTGTATGTTCTTAATAAAACTCTGTGGAAATAAATTTTATTGGTTAAGGGTAAAGAGAAGTCTAGAGCTTGGGGTACCTCTATGTTGAGGGTTTGTTCTTGGGAGGTTTGTTCTAGGATGCCACCGAAGAGAAAGTTCTCTTAAGAATTTTACTGCTCCCTCTCAAGAAGAGGGAGAATCTTGATTCTGTTTATTCTCTGTGATTACCTTTTCTGTCTCAGGAGTGCTATTCTTCACTTTGCTAGAACTTAGAATAAATCATTAAACCGCAGGCATTATACACAGATTATTAGGTTATTCTTCTTCTAACAAGGAAGAAACGGAGTGACTCCTACCAGGGTCATGCATTCATGTGCCTCTAGACACCCACGCGACAGTGCATAGACGCTAGATGCCCATCCCAGTGGTGTAGCTGTTGGGGCCTTGAGGGCTCTCTTATTTTCTGTGCCATACATGACGGGTGTAGATAATCATCACAGGGTGCGCCTCAGCTGCACAGGTTTGGCTCAAGGATGCTGGCGGTCGGTTTTCCTTTGAATGGTGTAAGGTTGAACATTTCAGAACTTGGAGTTGATCTGTTCCAGATTGTACACCTCATGGAAGAGGAGTGAAGTCATGTGTGGGCAATGAGCCGGGGCGTGAGCTAATGTGTGTGTTGTGTTTGGTGGTTGTCGGCGGTGGGGGGGGGGTGTGGGCAGGGCGGGGCGGGCAGGAGGAAGTGAGCGTAGCTGCTGCCATCCATGCCTCCGTGTGCCGTGTTGTTTCTATATAAATAATATTGTAACTAGTACTTTTCCTCCCTCTCCTCCCTCACAGAGTGGGAGTGGCTGTCAGTTTTGTCCTGATATATATTCTCAGTCTGGGAAAAACGCTCACGTCAGAAGGAGGTTAGCCTGTGAACCTAAGATCAGAGGACAGCCTGGCATATCCGGATCTACGGCTCATTCTCCTACAGATTCTCTCCAGGCCCCATGAGTTATTGCTGATTTTTCCTGAATCTTTGCTGGATTTCTTTTCCCCTGCTACCATCCTCTTTTGTAATGGCCTCTCCATATCTAGATTGTTCCTTCTCCCCACCATTCAACAGTGTTTGGCCTCCTCGCCTGTGAATGAACAAATTGTGGTGTCTTTCCCTCCTGCAGAGGAGTGTACGTGGATGGAAACTTGCTTGAGAGTTAGGGCAGAAATAAGAGTATGCTGAAGTTTCATAAGTTCAGGGAGAGGGTTGGTGGCACAAGCCGGGGTGGTGTGGAGTGACGGTGCGTGTGGAAAGTTTCTCCTCCTAATGGTCCAGCTCTTGTGTGGAATGATAGAGGTGGAGGTGTGGTCCCTGCCATCTGGGCCAGCCAGTCTCTGGGCCAGGGATGGGGGTGAAGCTCTCAGGTATCCTTCAGAGCCACAGATAACGTGCCAAGGGCCTCGTATTTTCTGGCTTGGAGTCTAAGCATGAGGTCTGCCTCCTCAGGACCCTCTGTGGTTTTCTCGCCCCTAAATCTTGCCTCATCTTCTCCCCATGAGTTTCTCAGTCTGCATTTGTGGCAATTCTCCTGTGACTGCATGGTGAGAACAGTAAGGCTCCCTTGCAGGTCTGCAGTGTGTGTGACCAGCTTCCTGTGTGTCGGGGAAAGGCCCTCCCTTGGGAGAACTGGAGAGCTCCTTTGGAGGTGGGTTTGGTTGAGGGAGGCAACAGGAGGACTTCCCGAGAAAGGTCCCACAGAGTCTAAGGGTCCTAAGAAGTAGTAGCAGGAACACCACAAAAAAGTGTCCCGTGGTCAGGTACACCGGGGAAATGGGGCTGGTTTTGTTTAACCATAAGTCTTTTCAGGATGCTGGAAGTGGGCGTACCCACGGGAATGACCAAGGCTGGTTGGTGTTTCTCGGGGGTACTTGACCACACAGCCCTCGGAGGATCAGCATTCTGAGGAATGTGTTTTTGGGGAAATGTAGATATCAGGGTCCAGGGTTTTGGATCTCAGTCCATGTTCATCCTCAAAGCCCAGTGATGGTGCTGGTTTCAGGTGAGCTGGGCTGGACCTCTGAAGGAAGCAAACATTGTGAGGGTTGCTCTCAAGGGTCTTCTGGGCATGTTTGGAAACGTGGACAAGATGGCAGTGTCAGCGCAAAAAGAGCAGGGGCAGGTGGGCCCCTGGGCAGGAGAGGGTTGGGGGAAAGGGAGCCAGGAGAGGCACCTGAGAAGCTGTGGCAGCCTCTTAGGGACAAAGCTGAATTTCCCTGAGACCAGAAACCTCTTCTTCCAAAAACCCTGATCCTTTTGGTACTGGGCCTATCTCTTGTCACTTAAGCAAATTTCTTTTCAGTTAACGGGACCAAAGAGAGACGTTTTTGCCTCCTCCTGAGCTGGAGGTAATTGGCTTAAAGTGGAAGAATCCTGAGGAAGCAGGGACCTGGTCAGGCCCCCATCATTCCCCTGCCCTCTCACACCTGAAGAGCCACTTCTCTGCTCCAACTGTGGCTGGCTTTGTGTTTTGTTTTAACCAGGAAGGCTGTTCCCCGTGACCTCAGGGGCCACATCCTGCTTCTGCTGCCTCCCTTGCCTTTGCACCCTTTGAGTCAGTGCTGCTCAGCCAGCAGCCCCTTTCTGAGTCACAGCCACACAGCTGGGCCAACTGTGGGTTGGTTTCCTTCCCCGTAGCAGGACTTAGAGAATCTCAGAGCTAGAAGTGCCTTTAAGGATTATTTAGTCCACCTTCCCTTTCTGTTGATAAGTAAGCTAGGCCCAGAGATACCATCTTGTTCAAAGGCACCCTAGTACTTAGTAGTTGACTGGATGGTGCCCTTGACTCCCAGCTCAGCCTTGAACTTCTGGGGCCTCATCTTGCTGTCGTTCAAGTCTTTGAAGGTAGGAGCATAGAAGGAGCCATGACGTCACTCCAAGTGTCTAATAGATGAACTTCCAGGAGATGTCTTTATCTTTGACCTTCTGGCTTATCTGAAGAGTACAGACTGTTAGGAAAACCTCTCAAGTAAAAGAGAGGATTATTAAATTATAGGATAGCAAGACAGCAAAGATCTCTCTTGAGCAGGGAAAGAGGATTAAGTCATGGGATACCGGATGTTTGTATTTTAGGAGGCTCAGAGGGCAGAAGGGACATATTTCACATGAGATGATTCCTTTTGCCTAAAATCCTTACCCCCTCACCCCAACCATCAACCAAGCACTGGTCATGATGATCCTATCACCCCCTTCCTGTATTAGGGAAGCAAGGGCCTTTGGTGTACTTGATTGGACACACACACTCTCATACACACACTCACACTCTCTCACACACTCACACACTTTCACACGCACACTCACACACTCATGTACGCATGTGCACACACTCACACTCACACACTTTCACACTCACACACTCACACGCTCTCATGCACACTCACACACTCTCATGCACACACACTCACACTCACGCATACTCACAGACATACACTCACACACTCTCACATGCACACTCACACTCTCACACTCTCAGACACTCTCACACACTGTCTCACACAGACTCTCTCATACACCCTCACACACACTCTTTCATGCACACTTACACGCATACTTTCACACACAAACACTCTCACACACACAAACACACTCCCCTGTCTCGAATCATTTTGGGGGCATAAACATAAAACCTGGAAATCAACCTGTTTTCTTTTCTTTCTTTCTTTTTTTTTTTGAGACAGAGTCTCACTCTGTCACCCAGGCTGGAGTGCGGTGGTGATCTTACCTCCATCTTCCGGGTTCAAGCGAGTCTCCTGCCTGAACCTCCTGAGTAGCTGGGGCTGCAGGCGCACACCTCCATGCCTGGCTGATTTTTGTATTTTTAGTAGAGAGGGGTTTCACCATGTTGGCCAGGCTGGTCTTGAACTCCTGATCTCTGGTGATCCACCTGCTTCAGTCTTCCAAAGTGTTGAGATTACAGTCGTGAGCCACCACACCTGGCTGTTTTCTTTACTATAGATTTGCAGTTTTGGCTTATTTTGAAGACAAATTGTTGGTTATCAATAGACTATAAAGTGATAAGTCTATAGTCTCATGAGTACTATTTCTAATGAGTATATTTTCCTTCCTGAAAGGTGCAGATTCACTTTATAGGAACAGCTTCAGCTTCAGTGATGAAAAACTGAATTCCCCAACAGACTCTACCCCAGCTCTTCTCTCTCCTGCTGTCGCTCCTCAGAAAGGTAAGGTCATTAGTTGGAATTGGAGTTTTTTGCTTTTTTATTCCTCTCCCCTTCTCCATCCCTTCTCTGTCCCTTTTATCCCTAAACGATCTTTCTCAAATGTACAAAACAGATAGGTAAGACTAATGTCTTAATACTGTAGAGTATAAAGTGGAATTTTTTTATTTCTCAGGATTTTAATCAGTGTGAACGTGAAATCAGATAATTTGGGGCAGAAAACCTGACGTCACAGGGAGAAAGAAAACTTGGAGACTAGACTGTTCTCTCTCATGTGATGTAATCAAGACTGTGCAAATGACAGTGTTTCTTAGGAGTCTCCTCCCAGACTTGCTGGTTCCTGAATTTAAAACTCAGCAGTTTGCAGATAGTAGGATTCTTTTTATTGCGTTAATTATTTAACCAATGGTTTCAGATGACCAATTTAGCAATTCAATGGAGTTGTCATTATGAGATAAGCTATGGTCTAACATGATTTAAAATAGCAGCTCCAGCCTGTGTCTACTGTGGTATTAATAGACCTAAAATGTCTTTAAAGATGCATGAGCAGTTTCTTATTTTTTGGAACTGGTAAAATGTCTCCAGCCAGAGAGCTGAATGTTCTATTACATTGGACAAGTGCCTTTTTGAAAACAAAAGGAGTTTTTTTCCTTAAGAAAAGTTATACTTGCTGAAAATAGTTGCAGAATGCAATAAAAATGGAACATAGTTAAAAAGAAATGACAATTCCATCACTCTTTTCACTTTGGCAATAAGACAGGACTTCGCTCTTTTTTCAAAAGAGGCATTTTAAAATTCCCTTCTCAACATAGCAACGTTAGCACCCACTGGGAATTCTGCCACTATCCAGCTCTCAGTCTGTAATGGATCTGTTGAATTCAGAGACAGAGCAGTCTAGAAAGTGGCTTAAAACACGCTCAGATTTGTTACCTGATCCTCAAGAGGTAGGAATTAAAGAGGCGGAGGAAAGCCCCTAGTGGCAAATTGACTTAAAAAGCTAAGAACAATTAGCCATTTGTAGCCAGCAGTGTTAATTAATAAAACTATCCAGTACTGCATTTCAGGGAAGGCGTGAATGATGTGATGAACTCTACAGAAATAAAGTCAGCTGTATGAAAAAAATCTGTACATCTCAGGCTCTAGAGAGAACCAAATCAGAATGAGGACTCGTTACCTTGTGTGGGCACCTGGAGGGGATGAGGCTGTGCTGGAACCAGAAGCCTCATGGTGCCTTCCCAGTACCATTTTGATAAGAAACAGTGAACTCTTCGTTCATTTCATACTGGAGGGACTCTGAGGGCTGCAGCGTTGCCTTGGGGGGACGGCACAAGCATGAATGCATCAGAAGGCTAGTGCCGCGGGAATGACACAGTCTAGGTGTCCGCTCTGCACGGTGCTATGCTTACTGAATTTTTTGACTAATAACTCATATTCTACACAATACAAAAACCAAACTCTTTTTATCTTCCCTTCCTGCTCCTCACTCTCCTGCAAACATTTAAGACAGTGAAGGAAGATTCCTCTTCCAGGTGATGGAGAAGTGAGGTGGGATGGTTGGAGAGGGTGGTGATGAACTAAAAAACAAAGAAACACTGAGGCTAGTCTTCAGAATCAGTTTCTGAGTTTACTGTATCAAAACACTGGAGCACACACTTAGGATTGGCCCAGGACACTCTTCAATGAAGTCTCTGAAGATAAGGAGGTGGATGTAAAATAGAAATAATCCATTCTATAACCCTGGACGTTCCAACATCCTGGAAAACTCAATATGAAGTCATCAGCTGTCTTTGTTATGGAAACTGAACTGTCTCTCTCCCCCCGCCCCACCGTTTCACAGCCAAATTAGGAGACACAAAAGAGCTAGAAGACTTCATTGCTGATCTTGACAGAACTTTAGCAAGTAAGTACATGTCTGATATTAAAAACAAAAAAACAAACAAAAAACTAACAGACACTTCTGATAAAGTGTTGCAATGTTAACCAGCTTGCCCTGGGGCAGAAAGTTGCATCCTAAGCCCTTCTTTAGGTTTAGAAACGGGACCTTAGGCTGGTCGCAGTGACTCACGCCTGTAATCCCAGCACTTTGGGAGGCCAAGACGGGTGGATCACCTGAGGTTGGGAGTTCAAGGCCAGCCTGGCCAACATGGTGAAACCCCGTCTCTGCTAAAAAACACAAAAGTTAGCTGGGCATGGTGGCGCGTGCCTGTTGTCCCAGCTACTTGGGAGACTGAGGCAGGAGAATCGCTTGAACCCGGGAGGCAGAGGTTGCAGTGAGCTGAGATTGCACCACTGCACTCCAGCCTGGCGACAGAGCGAGACTCTCAGAAAAAAAATAATAAGAAGAAATAAAATAAAAATAAAATAATAATAATAATAATAATACACAGGACTCTAGTGGCTAGGAATGAAATTCTGGGATAAGCTTGTGTTAAAGTAGACCATGTGCGTTTCCAAACAGTGAGAACAGGGCACCAGCAAACAATGGCATTGTGTTTGAGAAATGGAGAGTGAGCAAGACTGGAGCATTACCATCATGATGGCCTGTCAGGCTTTTCAGAGAAGAAATGAACTGATTAACCACAAGTGCATTACTCCAACAAGCCAAAAGGGTTCCATCCCAGGGGCCAGGGTAATTTTCCAGGTTAGATCCAGGGTTTGGGTGAAATCTAACTTTAAGAGGTGGGTGCCAAAAGAGAGAATTGGCTTGGGGGGCCTTTCACCAGAGACCCACGCCAGTGACTGAAAGACCTGGATTAGGTATGCATACTTGCAAGCATCCTATTTGGGAATTACACTAATCGTTACCCGTTTTGTGTGACCACAAATGTTGAGAACTGAAGACATCAAATTATAACTGCACTAGAGGGGCCCAGAAGAAGGGAGCCTCACAATCTATCTACATACTCCATTTCCAAAGGATAAGATTGCAAGAGCCAGGAGGACCAACTCCAGCTTCTGGGATGGAAGGTTCAGCAACTCTGCTATGGGGGGTCCTGTTGAGTCACAGAATGGGCTGGGAGAATTTTGTCCCAGCCCCTTAATTTTCCAGTGGAAGGATTGATTTTCTGTGAGAAGTATTTAATGCTATTCTTTGCTAAAGAGCTGGGTAAACTCTGAAAAATTAAATCCAAAGCTGGTTATTTAAAAATAACTATGTTCTTAACACTCTTGCAGACAAACCTGAATATCAGATAGAAAGTCCTTGTATCATCTCTGTTTGCTGGAAGATTTTACTGCCTCTTTTCTTAGGTACAGCACCATCTTACATCAGAAGACCAGGGCCTGTTTTGACAGGGATTATTATAATTATAGCATAATTTGTATTAGACCCATGTAACAAGCCTGTCTACTTCATGGAAATTGCAGTGGGTTGCCCAGTCATTCCAGTTAATCAAACACTCATCATGTGGGAAGCCTGGCATTGAGTTTGGTTCTTTGATGCTTGTCTGAGACAGTATGATGTGGTTAAGCATAGGAATTGTAAGCCTCTGAGTGGATAACCTTACCTGTCTCTCATTTACAGGTATGTGAAACAAGAAGAAGTTCTGGGTCCTTTCATCATAAGGGAGAAGCTTCAGAAAGCTCGGAGGACCTGCTAAAATCAGCTACTAGAATCTGCTGCCAGAGGGGACAAAGATGTGCACTCAACCTTCCACCAGGCCACTCTCAGGCTCACCTTAAAATCAGCCCTTGATCCCATCTCTGGGCAATTTAGACAGTGAAACTGACTTTGTTTACCTGCCTGCAGCGTATTAGAACAGACGATCCATGCTAATATTGTATTTTCTCTTAAAACATAGCTTTCCTGTAATTTAAAGTGCTTTTATGAAAATATTTGTAATTAATTATATATAGTTGGAAATAGCAGTAAGCTTTCCCATTATAATATATTTTTGTATACAAATAAAATTTGAACTAGAGTCTGCTTCCTTTTCTTCTTCTTTATTTTTTAAAATATATTTCCATTCAAATAATATTCTAGTGGGAGTAACATGCTTCTTGATTCCTTCGCAAGGCCCCTGGGTGCTCTCTGATTGCACTAGACAAGAGGACAGTAAATTTAAAGTGTTCCTTTAGCTTATTCAGTGCTCTGGAAGGAAATGCTGGCAGACGGCTGCGGGGAAATTTTAATCTGAGGATTGTGATTTCGTTGGAAGTTAGGTTTCTATTCTGTCTCTGCCCTCCTTCTCATATCTTGGCACCATTGCAGGTGGCATGGACTCTTTCTCTGAATTAAGGGAAATACCAGTTGTTCTTACAATCCAGGACTTAAATACGAGGGAAAGTTGAGATAGCTGGAAGACTTGAAAATGATGGTGCTTTTATAAGATCTGTGTGTGGAGGAAGATTGATGGTGCTGGTCTTGATGGAATGTCCAGCCAACCTCAGGTGCGAAGCATTTGACGGGTAGGCTTTGCACATAGAAGCCACTGACCCCTTCTCCCACTTGCCTTTGTGGAGGCTGGAGAGAGGCATAAAAATAAGAAAGCTCATAATTTTCTTATCTATGCTTTTCTGTCTTTAAAACCTCCTCTAAAATATCTGGGCATTACTTTCATAATCAGAATAAAGTTATTTTAAAACTCAAATCCCTATATTCCCAAAGGACATAAATCCAAAACATAACTACTCAAAATCTTACTTGTATCTTCAAAAGCTAACTACTATATTTGATCGGTTTTTTAGAGAATTGGGAAACTAAATTGCATTTTTTTAACTTTTTTCTTTTCCTCAAGCTTCCGGGAAAACTTTTGGGTTGAACTTAAATACTTCTTTTTCAAAAAAATGAGATCTAATTCACATACTGTAGCACCCAGTTCAGTGGTTTTTAGCATATTCACAGGTACTGCAGCCGTCACCACTATCTACTTCCCTGTCTCCATGAGCTTGTCTATTCTGGACCTTTCATATAAATGGAATATGTAATCTTTTGTGTCTGGCTTCTTTCACTTAGCATAGTATTTTCAAAGTTCATCCATGAGTAGCATGAATCAGTACTTCATTTCTTTTCACGGTCAAATCATATTCCCCTGTGTGGATATGCCACCATTTGTTTATCCATTCATTGGTTGGTGAAGATTTGGGTTGTTTCTACTTTTTAGTTAACTAATAATATTGTTATGAATACCCATGTATTAGTTTTTGTGTGGACATATGTTTTCATTTCTCTTGGGTATATAACTAGGAGTGGAATTCCTGGGTCTTATGTTAACTCTGTTTAACTCTTTGAGAAACTGTCAAACTGTTTTCCAAAGCAGTTTGGAAAACCATTTTACGTTCCCACTAGCAATGTATGAGGATTCCAGTTTCTCTATATCCTTGCCAACTTGTTCTTGTCTCCCTTGTCATTCTAGCAGGTGAGAAGTGGTATTGTGTTGTGGTTTTGTTTTGCTTTTTTTTTTTTTGGAGACAGAGTCTCACTCTGTCGCACAGGCTGGAGTGCAGTGGCGCGATCTCGGCTCACTGCAAGCTCTGCCTCCCGGGTTCAAGCGATTCTCCTGCCTCAGTCTCCTGAGTAGCTGGGACTACAGGCGCCCGCCACCACGCCTGGCTAATTTTTTTGTATTTTTAGTAGAGACAGGGTTTCACCGTGTTAGCCAGGATGGTCTCGATCTCCTGACTTTGTGATCCGCCCTCCTCGGCCTCCCAAAATGCTGGGATTACAGGTGTGAGCCACTGTGCCCAGCCTATGTTGCATTTCTGTGACTAATGATGTCTTCTCATGTGCTTACTGACCATTTGTATATCTTCTTTGGAGAAATGTCTATTCAAATCCTTTGCCCATTTTAAAATTAGGATGTCCTTTTAACTTTTTTTATTTTTGTGGGTACATAGTAGGTGTATGTATTTATGGGGCACATAAGATGTTTTGATATGGGCGTGTGACGTGTAATAATCACATCATGGAAAATGGGGTGTCCACCTCCTCAAGCATTTATCCTTTGTGTCACAAACAATCCAATTACACAATTGTAGTTATTTTTGAATGTACAGTTAAATTGTTATTGACTATAGTCACCCTGTCGTGCTATCAAATACTAGGCCTTATTCATTCATTCCAACTATTTTTTGTGCCCGTTAACCATGCCTATCTCCCCCCTGACCTCCTATTACCCTTTCCAGCCTCTGGTAACCAAGCTTCGACTCTATAATTCCATGAGTTTAACTGTTGACTTTTAGATCCCACAAATAAGTGAGAACATGCAATGTTTGTCTTTCTGTGCCTGGCTTATTTCACTTAACATAATGACCTCCAGTTCCATCCATGTTGTTGCAAATGACTGAATCTCATTCTTATGACTGAATAGTACTCCAGTGTGTATAAGTACCACATTTTCTTCATCCATGCATCTGTTGAGGGACATTTAGGTTGCTTCCAAATCTTGGCTATTGTGAATAGAGCTGCAACAAATATGGGAGTCCAGATACCTCTTTGATATACTAATTTCCTTTTTTAGGGGGTATATACCCAGCAGTGGGATTGCTGGACCATATGGTAGGCTCTACTTTTAGTTTTCTGTGGAATCTCCAAACTGCTCTTCATAGTGGCTGTAGTAATTTACATTCCCACCAACAGTGTACGAGGATTTCCTTTTCTCTACATCCTTGCCAGCATCTGTCATTGCCTGTCTTTTGGATATAAGCCATTTCAACTGGGGTAGGATGATATCTCATTGTAATTTTGATTTGCATTTCTCTAATCAATGATGTAGGGCATCTTTTCATATGTCTGTTTGCCATCTGTGTTCTTTTGAGAAATGTCTATTTCAATCTTTTGCCTATTTTTAAATCAGATTATTAAATTTTTTTCCTATAGAGTTGTTTGAGCTCCTTATATATTCTGACTATTAATCTGTTGTCAGATGGGTAATTTGCAAATATTTTCTCCCATTCTGTGGGCTGTCTCTTCACTTTATTGTTTCATTTGCTGTGCAGAAGCTTTTTAACTTGATGTGACCCCATCTAGTCCATTTTTGCTTTAGTTGCCTGTGCTTGTGGGGTATTACTCAAGAAATGTTGCCCAGACTGATGTCTTGGAGAGTTTCTCCAATGTTTTCTTTTTGTAGTTTCATATTTTGAGGTCTTAGATTTAAGTGTTAAATCCATTTTGATTTGATTTTTGTATATAGTGAGAGATGGGGGTCTAGTTTCATTCTTTGCATATGGATATCCAGTTTAGTTTTCCCAGCGTCATTTATTGAAGAGACTGTCCTTTGCCCAGTGTATGTTCTTGCCACTTCTGTTGAGAATGAGTTTACTGTAGGTGTGTGGATTTGGTTCTAGGTTCTCTGTTCTGTTCCATTGGTCTATGTGTCTGTTTTTATGCCAGGACCATGCTGTTTTGGTTATTATAGCCCTGTAGTATAATTTGAAGTCAGGTAATGTGACTCCTCCAGTTTTGTTCTTTTTTAAATTTTTTTTTTTTAATTATACTTTAAGTTCTGGGGTACATGTGCAGAACGTGAAGTTTTGTTACATAGGTATACGTGTGCCATGGTGGTTTGCTGCACCCATCAACTCGTCACCTACATTAGGTATTTCTCCTAATGTTATCCTTCCCCTAAACCCCCACCCCCCAACAGGCCCCAGTGTGTGATGTTCCCCTCCCTATGTCCACGTGTTCTCATTGTTCAGCTCCCATTTATGAATGAGAACATGTGGTGCTTGGTTTTCTGTTCTTGTGATAGCTTGCTGAGAATGATGGTTTCCAGCTTCATCCATGTCCCTGCAAA